GACGGGACAAACCTGGGTGCTAGAGCTGGAGGGAGCCCTCCGGAACTTTAAAAGGGTGAAACTTAAGAAACTTTACCTTAAGGCACTGGTGCTTGGGGCTGCTTCCTGAGGAGCCCTGGTTGTGTGGTGGGTTACCCTTTGGGCTGCTAACCACAAGGTCAGCAGTTCAATCCACCAGTGACTCCTTAGGAGAAAAGGACTCTTTCTGCTCCCTTAAAGATTTATAGTGTCGGAAACCCAACCTAGGGTCACTGTGAGTCAGAATCCACTAGATGGCAGTGGGTGGGGGAGTCAGGCCTCACTGTGGCATGCCCACAGTTGCTTTGGTCCAGAACAGGAATCTAGCTGACAAGGACTCTAGGTGACGTGCAAAGTAGTCACCCCATTATAAACTCTAGTAAAGTGAGGCCCAGAGTACCAAAACAGCCTAATTACCCCCCACACCTGGATGATTCATGATTGTTTATTTCTGGAAGTTTTGGTTAAACTCCAGTATCCTGGACTTAGCCCAACATTTAGGCCAATAAGCGCTGCTGCCTCCCAGGTGGTTGTTGTTGGTAAGTCTTGAGGGGTAGAAACTGTAGACACCTGTGCAAATGAGGACGCGTGCCCTAACTTCAGCACCAGGTGCCTCTGTTCTGTTACACTCCAGAGCCCCTTCTGTGCTCTGGGTTCATTTGGTCCCCAGGCTCTCCTGTGGTTGGGCCTGTCCCTGCTGCTGTCCCAGTCGATGAGGAGGGGTTGCCATGGGCTGCCCCTCCTGGGAGTTGGGCCTTCTCTGGTCCTGTGGCTTGCTAAATGGGTTGTTCCTGTTGTTCCTAGCTGACCAAGTAGAGAGAAGGTGGGCCTGGAATGCAGAGAGAGTTACAAGTGTGCGATCCTGGGCCCTCAGTGGCACCCACAATAACTTTACCTTCATCTGCTTAGGGCTCCCAAACAGGGTAGTATTGGTGGACAAGAGTCTCACGGACTCCGGGCTTGTTTTAAGTGCTGCCTTTAAGGCCAGGAAGAGGGTTGAATACTTGTAGTATCAGGTTGTTCTCTGTGAGGAGATGAGAGTGAGGGGCTCAGGGAGGCTGGGAGTGTTTGGAGCCCTGTGCACAGCAGAGAGCTGTAGAGGTGGGAGTCCCCAGACCCACAGCACATGGGGCTGCATTGAGCCATCTTTCAGTGACTCTGCTGCTCTGCTCGAGATGATGTGAGGGGAGGGCTGTCAGCCTTCATACCTGTGTTCCACCTTTTGGTATCTTGGGCCGGCAGAGTTGCTATGTGCGCAAGGGAGACTGTCGTGGGACAGCCCTGGAGAATGGTTGTGGATTTCTTATTCTAAGTTTCTATTTTATTATAATTAACTTTTTATTTTGAGATAGTAGTAGATTCATATACCAGTGTGAAGTAGATTCCTTGTACCCTGTACCCAGTTTTGCCCAGTGGTAACATTTGTAGAACTCTACAGGGTGTTGATACAGTGAAGTTACAGAGTGTTTCCTTGATCACAGGAACACCTTTTATAGACACACCCACCTCCCTCCCAGTTTGTCCCCCGTGTTCCCTGGCAACTGCTGATCTCCTGTCCATTTAAAATTTTGTAATTTCATCCATGTTATATTAAAAAAGCTTACATATCATGTATGTAAGCTTTGGGAATTGACTTTTTACCCCTAGCGTAATTATCTGGAGATTCAGGTGGTTGTCCCTAGAATGTTTGTTCCTTTTTATTGGTGCTGTACATATGGAGTCCTGATGTGGCTCTGTAGGATAAGCACTCGATCACAAGGTCAGTTTGAACTACCTAGTTGGTGGTTCATCGGTCGCTCCTCAGAAACCCTGTGTAGGGTCACTATGAGTCAGGACCGACTCGATGGTACTTCACAACACCATGTGTGAGCCACAGATGTGTAACCGTTCAGCCATTGAAGGCCATCTAGATTGTTTACAGTTTGGGGTTATTATAAATGAAGCTGCTGTGAATATCGCTGTACAGATTTTTGTACAGTATTTCCATTTCTATGGGATCAATGCCCGGGAATGCACTGTGTTGTATTGAATGGTAGTTGCGTGTTTAGTTTTAAAAGAAATTGCTGAACTGTTACCAACGTGACTAATACCTTACATCCCCCTGCGATGTGCAGGGAAGCCGCCTCCTTGCCAGCATCGGTGCCAGTGTTTTTTATTTTAGCTGTTCTGACAGGTGTGTCGCCGTGGTTTTAATTCATACTTCCTTGACAGCTAGTGATGCTGGACACTTTCTTGTCCTCAAGTGCCATGTTCAGGAACATATCTGTTCACGTCTCTTGCCCATTTTGTAATTGGGGCACTTTTTTGTAACAATGGAGTTTTCCAGTTGCTTCTGAACACTCTTGTTTGTCAGATTTGTGGTTTACGAACATTTACCCCCAGTCCCTAGCTTGTCTTCCAGTCTCTTAGCAGAACTTTTTTTTTTTAATGTTTTATTGTGAATTATGTGATAGTTCACACGGGAGAACATCAGTCTTACATTCATTCTATCGTATATTGTCTCATTGCCATGGTTACAATCCCCTCCATGCAATCCTTCCCCAGTACCCCCCAGGTCTTCAGCACACAGTCGCTCTCCCTCTCTGGATCTAAAGTCTCCAGCTGCTCCATCACTCCACGTCATCATCTCTGACTCCATTTCAGGCATCACTGCTTCTCTGGGTAGGGTC